TGTGAGCTCCTATCTCCCCTCCCTTAATATTTAAAAAAAAAAATCTTTTAAGGGGCTGTCTAGAGGAAAATAAAGAAAATTACATGCTGCTTGACCTCCCTACCTTCAGTGGTTTTCAGTATGGTTTGTCCCCACCAACACCCATGTAAAGATTTTGTCTCCAGTGTAGCAAGGTTCAGATGTAGGGTCTGAGGGAGGGGAACCACAGGGAGGGGCTTAATCAATGACTTCTTGTCTTCCACCAGGTCTTTACCAGAAGCTGCGAAGATTGCAGCACCATGCTTTTATAGTTCCCATCCTCCAGATAGTTTGTAGAGGTTCAAATCCATAACTGGCTGGCTCCAGTGTAGGGTGGCATGGCACAGGGGCATCACAGAGGAGCAACAACAGCCCATGGTGTGGCAGGCAGAAGGCAGCAAAATAGCAACCACCCTCTCTTGTCCTTTTGAGTGGGAAAAAAACCTTAGAATGGAGTTTCCTTCTCTCAGTCCCACACAACCAGACCAGGTACTTAGAACTTCAGTTTGTTTTCCCCAGAACAGTTCCCTGGAGCGTTCAAAGTGAGTATCTTTCACACAAGCTTAAATATCACATTGTTTCTCCTGTGTGAGAAACCCAGAGTAAAAATAAAGAGCAAAATAAAAGATGGATCATAGGAAGTAAGGAGATAGATTGAGATTGTTCTTAGAGGGTAAGGGGATCAAGAGATGGAAGGAGGAGAGTGGGAGGGAAGGAATGAATAAAAAGAATCAGGATGTGTTATGTGCATGTACCAACTCCACGCAAATAATGGAAACACTATGTTCGGCAAATGTGCACAAAAAAAGGCAGGGGATGAAGGGATGGGTGGAAAGAGGAGGGAGGGAAGTAAAAGGGGATGAAAAAAGGAATTAAGATGTGTTACATACATGTACCCACTTCCCACAAGAAATATGAATGTTTTGTACTACACACATGTACTAATAGACTAAAAGAACTTTTTAAAAAGTTGTGTCTTTTCCCAGTCTAGCAGAGTTAACCATTTACTTCTGTCTGCAGAGGAATATGGGCTGACATCTGGAAGGGAGTATACACACCACCTGTGAGGAAATGTGGGACACTGGCCATAGAGGAGAGAATAGTGGCTATGTGCAAGGATCTGCAGTTGAGGCATTCCATGGGGCTTAGGAGTGGGTGCTACTGTTTGGATCTTAAATGTCCCCCAGAGGTCCATATATTACAGGTTTTGTACCTAGGTTGAGAAATGGCATAATCTTTAAAAGGTGGGGCTTAGTGGAGAGGTTTTTGGGTAATTAGGGGCATGCCTTCAAAAAAGAGTAGGGGACCCTAATCTCTTCCTTTTTTTCCTTTCCTGGCCATGAAGTGAGAAGTTTTGCTCCACTGTGAACTCTTGTCGTGATGTATTGAAAATTGCCTCACTATTGGCTTTAAAAACAAAGCCAACCCATCATGGACTTCAATCTCCAAAACCATGCACAAAAATAAACCTCTTCTATTTATATACCATCTCAGGTATTTTATTACATTAATGGAAAGCTAACACAGAAGATTAGTTCCAAGAGTGGGGTAATTGCTGTGATTCATCTGATTTGATGTGGAGAAGGCTTTGAAACTGATGTATAGGAGGAATTTGGCAAAGTTTGGAAAAACAGGCCAGAGAAAGCCTAGGATGCTGCAGATACAGCTTGATGTGTTTTCTGGTGAGGGTGCAGGCCAGAAGGCTGAGGGGAATGCAGACAGGGCAGGTAATGCTATTAGGGTTTCAGAAAGGAATGAGGATTCTGTTGGAAACTGTGTATGGCCAAGAATCTGAATGCATTTTGTCTGTGCCCATGAGACTTGTTAGAAGGCTGAGCTTAAGGATGACAGACAAGTATATCTGGCAGAGGAAATTTCAGGGCAGCAAAGCACCCAGGTAACAGCAGATATTATTGTCTGTTTTTAGCAGAATTTAAATTGAGAATTTGAGGCAATATGAGGCAAAGTGGAAAATCTAAAAACTTCACTGGTTGGCCAAAAAAAGGGGGCAACCTAAGGTTTGGGCAAAGAAGGGTGTGGTTGATAAGTGCTTTCTTTGCACTAGGATAATAAGAAAGGGTGTCAGAATTGACAAGAAAGCACAGCACGTTTGTCTGAGAGCCTCTCCAGAGGATACATCTTCGAAAGAGAGCGTGGGGCCTCCTAGCCCAGAACTACACAAACAAGGCACAAACAAGCTCCTGCAGCCGCAGAGGATTCAGGCTGTGCCACCAGTAGGCCCCGGCAGAATCCACGTGATACTAGCTTTGCAGACATGCGGAATACGAGTCACGGGCTGCAGAGGCTTCCACCAAGATCTCGCAGGAGAGCCTGGGAGGCCAGGAAGTGTGGCGCAGGGTTTCAGCCCCGGCAAGCATCTCCTGACAGGGTGGTGTGTGAAGCTGTGAGAGCGAAGCCAAAGCTGTAACGGAGACCCCAGGCAGGAAGGGATGACAGGAATACGGGACGTCTGCCAAGAGAAGCTGCAGGGACCACGCAAAACCTCCACATTCGGATTCCCTTACTGGTCAAATCTAATAGGAGCGGCGTCCCCCAGACGCCAGGCCGCACGCGAGTCACCACCTCGGTAAAGATGGTGATGGTGACAGTGAAGACGAAGGCAAAAGGGAAACAGAAGCCAGGCAGGAAGGTTAATGTAGAGGCCAGAGTAACTCCGTTTTGTAATAAAAGGCTCCATTTCATACTGGGCCTGACCCAAAATGAACCCATTCGTCTTGTGACTGCTGAACAAAACAAACTAGTTCCTGAGAAAACAACAGAATGTATAAAAGACCACCTGACATCCTTGAAACTGGGCCACCCCATACCAACCTTGTAAGTCAGCCACTCTGTAACAACCTTAAACCTCGGCCACCCCGATACCTCACCACCCCAATAACAGCCAACAGGATTTAAATGTAATCACTAACCAATCATAATAGAGGTAAAGCTTGTTACTAAGACTAATGTATCCCAAACCTTATAAAAGCGGCTTGAAATTGCTTTTCGAGGTCTCCAATCTCTGATTGGCAGACCCCCACTGCATGCTGTGCTAATAAAGTGCTGTCGTGTGTGGCATACGTGAGTGGTGATCTTCTGGGGGACGCGGCGCTCGGGAACGACAGTTAAGGTGTCCGCGGGCAGTTCGCAGTGTGCGGAGCTCACCCAGATACTCTCTCCACCGCGGAGTGCGCGCCGCCGCCCGGGCCCTCGCTGGTGGTGGGC